ATATATATATATATATATATATATATATATATATACTTTACGGAACTTTTGAAAAAATTCTCGACTATTTCTTTTTCTTTTTTTCGATAATTTCTCCAAGCTGTGGCGATTTATTAGTGTACAGATTGCGCTCTTTAATCAACAATGTCGAGCAAAGTCGATGTACAAGTATCCCAGTAATTAATACTCGTTGCATTAAAAGTTGTTTTCTCGTTGAATGGTGTATAACGAGTCCGTTTAATACACTCGGGTGAAGTTTCCTCGTTACAAAATATTTTAGAGTGGTCGTGTTCGGATAGTCGATAACCAGGTCTCAAGAATTCGTTCTGTAAATGCTGTTTTCTTCTCTCAATGTAATATTCGCGATTTTACGTCAAAATCATGGAAATCTGCGTTTCGTTCGTCGTGCTCCAATGGAATTAGAAAATGCAAAATCATGCATACAATTTCGTACTTGCAATCGGAATCGTGTAGTCAACACAACTCTCGCAATAATATTTGTATTTTTTGTCGTTTAATACATAAAAATAATGTTTCTTCTAAATTTAATATATTTTTTTATATATTGAACGCTCGTCCAATTATATTACACTAATTTATATATTCAGTCTCTATATGTTTTCTTAAATATATCAAATACATCGTAGTTTAATGCATTGAAATTCATTTCTTTTTCTTTTTTTTTTTTTTAATACATTAAATTTCTAACATTATTCAACATTTCAAACTTACTATTTCGACGCTGTTCAACTTACTACTGTCAATTGAATTGCCAAAAGCGATCTCGAGCCCATGAAAACTAAATTAATGCAACGCTTAAAACGATGGTCGTTCGTATTGAAGATCGAATCTCATCAATAATTCACATCATTTCGTAACGTCGGTCGACTTCAGTTTCTTCGCCAGACTAAATGTCCACGCGCAAATTAGCACGATTTCTAAAACAATGGTCGTTCCGTGTCACGTTGAACATCGGGTCGCGTTAGTAATTCACGCGTTATTTCGCGACATCGACCGACAAGCTTGCTCGCGTATTATGTACAAGTGACAATGGTGTATCGAAGGGGAACAATGAACGAGCCGGTGCAATTGGTCGCGTACGGATAATTATCGAGTCGATGGTAACCAGTTCGACAAACGTGTCAAAGGAGCGGTCAACTTTGCATCTGGATAAAGACGAATGAACTGTTATTGATGGCACTTAACGCGTCCTCGCCTCCCCGCGACGTTCGACACGCCGAAGATGTAAAATAAAAGAGACATAAAATTATCTCTGCGTCACAAATTATCT